ATGGCTGTTTTCTGGGGATTTAAAACAATCAAATTAAAACGATCAATCACCTTCAAACTTCGACCAGACGTCTAAATCATTATTGCACTTTTGCAAACCTGCTTCCTGTACGGTAAAACGTACTCAAGTTACTAAACTTCTCACCTGTTCATATTTTCGTAAATTTTTAACTCCTTTCGCTTATTCTCGTTCTTTTATCTAATGAGTACAGTTTTGAGTGTTATTGATTAAGCCCAATGTAACTTTCCGAAATTTTAAGATCATATGGTGATGCGATAGTGTGGTTTAGAAATGGTAAGCGAGCCAGCTTACGGCGAGAATACTTGCCAAAGACACTAGAAGTAAGCCATGTCAAAATGTGAGGGGACTTTTGATAGGGATAAGAGTGCACTCGGGTAAATGATAAGTGAGATTTTCAGTGTTTTTTCAGCAAACTAAGGGACACAATTTTAGTAGATTTTTGTAATACAGTATGTAGGAGGTGAAATGCTGAGGATTTATTCTGTATAGAAAGGCCATTTTAAGTCAGCTAGTATTAACCATGTAAAGATGTCAACCAATTTGGCACTACTCCATGAGATAATAAATCCTGATGATGCTAATGGACAGCATTAGCAGCGCTCCAGAGTTGCCCCACAAAACGACGTTGCGCGTTGCACTAATACGTACAGCATTCTAGTCAGAACAATTTATCGCTACATGTAAAATTGACGGTTATATTGATTGTCAAATGTTTTTGTTTTAAAGGAGCATTTAAGACGTGATGACTACCAGAGAGAAAAACTGACTCGAAAAACCAAAGAAGGAACACCTTTGGAAGGTTGCATGAGGTGAAAGAGGAATTTTTCTGTTAAGAATGGAAATGTTATACATTTGCTAAGAATATAGGCTATTATGTTCCTTAGGTTCACAGCAACATTTGTCGATAGTGCAAGATAACATGGTTTTCAAGATTGGTCATCACTTCTTTGGAAAAATAGAACTTTAAGAAAATTCATCACGAAAAACTGACTAGACCTGAAGAATATTGACTTTTGAACAAACACTTTAATCTTACATTTGTTTACAGAAAACTTGCTACTTTAGCTACCTTATATTTTCCATATCTTATCAGGCCCTACAACCAATTTTTTCCTTAGGCAAATTTGTGGTAGAACACTACTTTCATTATGTTCCAACAGGTTTTTTGCTTAAGCAAAATATTAAGAAAGTTTGTTCAGTTTCCATCTCATTGCAAAGTGCTTGATCCCATCATCGAATTTTCAATGATTTGCGAAACCTCAAGTTTTTTAGGTGTTCATAGTTGTTCAATTTAACAGAAATTTTCAAACATTTGCATTCCTAGGAAACAATTATGTTAATTCAATCACAGTTCATTTTTGAAAGATGACTGACAAAGTTAACTATGTCCATATTGTTTTTCCATGTAAACATCTTTTATATCAATTTTAAAGATTTATTTTGTTCTGAACCGGTAATTAACATGTACAGTTCCCACAAAAAAAGAAAATGGAATTGACTACTTAACCATAATGCGTGGCTTTTTGATCATAGCATCATTTTCTCGGAATCATTCATGCGATAGGGTAATTTCGCTCGGCTTCCTTTCCTATGGTGGAGGACGCAAGCTCACCCTCAAAGACAGAAGACAGCAACCAAACATAGTGTATATGGCTACATTTTCCACTGCATTAGAACATGACGGCAGTAAATTGTTGCATCGAAAGGGTTTGCAGAAGGTCTATAAAACAATGAGTTAAAGATGGTGTTGCCATATAGCAGGGTTTTAGTTAATATTTCTCAATCATATTTCTTACACCGGGTTTTTGCGTACGTTGTCATTTGTGAGGGTTTAATTACAAAAAAGGCTCCAATAAGTTAGTTAAAAATAAAAAATTGATTCCACTGAAAGATAAGCATTGAACTACATTTCAATTCGCAAGCGTTGAACGACCAAGTTAGAACGGTCGCGCTCAAATACGTAAAAAACGTCAGAGGCGGCGACAGGCATCCTTAGCATTGGTACAAACATTCATCCATTCTCCAAACCCAGCTACATTTATCTTTCAAACAGTATTTTCTGAAAGTAAAGATTATGATACCAAATGTAACCCTGATATCGCAATTCTTTTCAGTAGAAGCATTTCCAAGCAGTTGTGATGTATGTCGAGCGGAGCGACTTTATCAGTGAGAGGATCTGCCTTGGAGTCCAACTTGGAGTTTTCAAGTTGAAATTGTGCTAATTCCAGTAAAGAGGATAGAAACTTCCACTGTCTTCCAGAGTCATACTGAGACAGATCCGATTAAGTTTATGAAGCTGCAGATAGTAAATTGGGTTTAGAGGATTAAATAACGAATGACAAGCTCTCGTACATTCATATGTGAAGGTGGCGTTGACATTCTTTTCTTAGGGACTGGAAGCTTAGTTGGAACTTAACAGTTCATGCCGTGTTATAGCATGCATATAGCGACAGTCGGGGAAACATCGCGTCACTCAACTTCTTCCCTGTTTTGTCAGAAGACATCGTCTATTTGGAGGTCTGCTCTTACTGAAATGACGTCGAAACGTATATGATTCTACAAGATTTAGGGGTGTTTCAATCTTTGTAACAACTTCGTAAACTGAAATGCTCTCAGATTAATATCTAAAGGGAGGCTTTCGACGGCCGAGAGGTCACGCAACTCAGTGCCGACAAGTGAAATGGTTTTCCTATGAAAGTCCATAAATTCGACACTTGTTGAAAAACAAACTTATTGAACAGACACAATGAGAAATTCGTAAAATGCAGACGAAGAGATAATGAACAAGTTTTCTAATAATCATCCTAAGTGAATCTAACAAACAAAGAGAGATAGCTAAAATCGAATCCCGAATGTGTTGATTGTAG